TCCCACCTCAAGCCGCACCTCCATCTCCTACCGACCAACCTCATCCCCCCCCCTTGACCTGTCCGTCCTCCCTGGACTGACCTATCCCCTTCCTAACTCCCTACCTACACTCACCTTTACTGGCTCCATCCCCGCCTCTTCGACCTGTTTGTTTCCTCTCCTCTATCCCTCTTCTGTCCGCCTCCCACGCTCTCCCTATTTATTTCAAAACCCCCTTCCCCTCCCCCTTTTCTGATGAAGGGTCTAGGCCCGAAACTTCAGCCTCTCTGCTCCTATGATGCTGCTTGGCCTCCTGTGTTCATCCAGCCCTGCACCTTGTTGTCACAGATAAATTTAGCTTCTGCACATTAGCTGCTGCTTGCACCAGGAAGTGTTAGAAGGAAATGGTACAGAAAAAAAAACAACTTAAATAAGGGAGTTGAGGGGTACAGTTAGATGTCTACCACAGCACTTGCTAATGTAGGATCTGTCAAATGTTTTTTTAAAAAAGATCATGAGGTGAGATAAAAATAATTACACACAAACTTTTTTTTTGTGTTAAGAATAGGCAGAACAGTGAAATTAGGCCACACAGCTCATGTGGGGACAGTAGCTTAGAACTCATTGTCAAGTGGGCTGTATCTATGTTTGAATGTGTCATGATCATATTGTTCTTAATGCTGCAATCCTTTAATACAGTGGAAAGGTAACCAAGGCCGCATGTACTTGACACAAATGCCATTATCAGAGTGACAACACATTAGCAATTATGACATGTACAGTACTCAAAACATGAAATGTCTCTCATTGAGATGCTAGTTAAACACGTTGAAGCACACAAACAACCCAACGTTTTAACTCAAGGAGCTTTATCACAGATGAACACAAGAAATTGGAGCAAAAATAAACACTAGGATGTGTTGAGCTCCCTCTGCCATTCAAAGCAACCAATATGTTCTTTGGCTTCAACTTCATTTTCTTACTCATTCTCTATATCCTTTGATTCCCTAATAGACTAAAATTCTGTCTACCCCAGCCAAAATATATCCAAAGATGGAGCACACAATCCTCTGGGGGTAGAGAATTCTAAAGACTCTCAACCAGTTAAATGAAGTAATTTCTCCTCATGTCAGTCCTAACTGTTTGACAAGTGGAAACAATCTTTGAGTGTCTACCCTATTGAGCCCCTTCAAAATCTTGTTGCCTGACACATCTGGAGACTCCATCTCACTATTCAATGAGTGTACTGTGACTAGGGAAACAGGTTAAACTCATGCTTCCTCAAAAAGGGGAGTGTCTGCTCATTCTGTACTTTTCAGTCAATCTACTACTATGAAGTGGTTGGGGCTGCTTTGGACTCAAACACTGAGAGGACCAAGTGATTTGTGTTCAGTGTAGTTTAACCACTGAGGTAACTGCAGGGGTGCAACTGTCCAGTCCTGTCAAACAGCATGTCAGAATAATTGACTAGCCTAGCTTCATCACTAACTCAGATTTTATTAAAATGCCAGACTGATCCCTGGCTCTTGGTACATTATAAATTAACATTTCAAGTTTCTGAAATTGACATCCTGCCAGAAACATTCAATGAATCATTAATCTTCTAAATATTGCTGTCATTAAGAGCTTTGGAAGAAATCTTCATTTTCTTTTAACTACTGGTTTCCATTTCCTTTGTATGAGGCGTGCCACTGTTACCAGATTACTCAAGTGTAACACTACGCGTTTCAATACTAGGGCGCCACACTGAGCTACAGAGCAGCTCATGCACAGCATTTAGGTAAGTGATAGAGCAGTTTTAGAATCAGAGCTCACACTTCAGCAACGTGCATGACAGAAATTGACATCCAACACAACCGGAGTTGAGTTATTTTATTTTAAAAATGTAGACTACAGCAGAATTAATCCAACTTTATTTTCTTGTGAAAATTCTAGCTTTAAAAATGTAGCCTGCAAAAATGAAATCCCAGGTCTATTTGTAACCAGCTTATTGAAGAGGGACTCTTAAATTCTAAATATACTTTTACATGATCAGCAGGACACTCAATGAGTCACTAAAATAGGCCAGAAAGGTGTGTCTTTCATCCTTGATCTGTGGACAGGATACAAAATGGCTCTGGTTGCCTAGGTTCCTCTCCCTGACTTCAACTTAATGATATCCATGTGACCACTAGCAGAGGATAGTGGTAGTCTCAGGTGCACTATTCCCACACTCAAAACGGTCTGCTTATATTTATAGTCAATGTTTACATAAATGTAACAGTCACAGGGAATCTGCCAGAAGTCAGTTTCAATGGATTGCAAGAACCCAGTAAGATATCTGTGATTTAAGCCAAGAGAAAAAGGAAAACAAATCAGAATCGTACTACCTGTTGTAGTCGTTCCACCTCATACTGCTTGGCCTGAAGAATTGTCAGCGCTTCTTCATGTTCCAACTCCAGCTGGTGCCTGCGCTCTGCCACCTCTCGCATGTGCTACACAGGGAAACATTAATTACACCCCATCCCACATCACAGGAGCTATTCCTCACAGTGCCAGATACAACATTTTGAAATTATACAGATCAGAAGTAAGGTACAACTCTGCACAAGACATTGAGTTCTCTGTCAATGGTACAGCTGTCAAAATCCCCTGTACTCAGACAGCCTATTAAAAACCTTAGTTTCTCTGCATTAAAATGATACACTTAAAAACATACTTTTCTCTACTGAAGCCATATCAGAAATATATTGCCTTCTATCAACAATCTGATAGAAACACACAGACTCATGCCAAGGCCTTTGGAAATACCATCATCCACCTCTTCCTCAGTAAAGCTCCCACTTCCAGCCTAGTTTTGGAGGTTGCTATCTGACACAGTTATTAATTCCCAAGCTATTCATGGATCCATCCGACCCAGTTCTATAATATTCTCTCACAATTCAGCAATTTTCTCACTTTCCTAGTCTGGTTCATAATCACACCCACCTTGCATCTCCACGCAGCTTCTTCATTATATTTTCTATCACTATCACTACTGGTGCTCTTTTGGGAAATGCTGTTCTTAGTTACGTCTCAGAATCGTGAGTATAGCCTGGGATCACTTGTTTATACTTCTCTTTCCTTTCTGCCAGCATAGAAGGAATCATTCACACAAGAGTGTAACAGTCACTAAATCTCATCATTTATGAAACACGGACAATGTGCTGTGAGCTACCCAAGTTCCACAGTCTCCCACCTGTATGTGTATTTATTATAGAAAAAAATTCTTTGAGTTACCTGAGCTCAATGATAGCTCACTCATATTTCAATGTAGATTTATTTTTGCTTATGGAGTTATCAGTAATCTTACCTTCAGGAATAACAAAGTGTGGAGCTGGTGGAACACAGCATGCCAAGCAGCATCAGAGGAGCAGGAAAGTTGACGTTTCGGGTCAGGACCCTTCTGAAGAAATGTCAACTATCCTGCACCTCTGATGCTGCCGGGCCTGCTGTGTTCCGCCAGCTCCACACTTTGTTATCTCTGATTCCAGCATCTGCTATCTCTTACCTTCAGGACCTGCTCTAGGTTCTCCAGTTTGGCTTGGAGTCGCTGATTCTCCTTCAGAGATGAATCTCGTTCTGCTGTCACCACTGAGAGTGTCACTCTCAGGTCATTGTTGTGTATTTTAATCTGTATTAATCATAGATACTTCAGCATGACAACAAAGGTAAAAAAAAACACAGTCACCAATTCACCCAGCTCATTACTGTAGAAAGAGACACTCAATTTGTTGTGATGAACACTATATTATATAAATTATTATATACAGTCATAGAGTAATACAGCATGGAAACAGGCCCTTCGGCCCAAACTGGTCCATGCTGATCAAGGTGCCCAGTCAGCTAGCTCCATTTGCCTGCATTTAGTCCGTATCCCTCTAAACCCTTCCCATTCATGTACCTATCCAAATGTTTGTTAAGAAGTTGCTATTGTGCCTGCCTCAACCATTTTCTCTGGCAGCCCATTCCACATGGGGTGGCACGATGGCTCAGTGGTTAGCACTGCCGCCTCACAGCGCCGGGGACCCGGGTTCGATTCCACCCTCAGGTGACTGTCTGTGTGGAGTTTGCACATGTCTGCGTGGGTTTCCTCCAGGTGCTCCAGTTTCCTCCCACAGTCCAAAGATGTGCAGGCTAAGTGGATTGGCCATGTTAAATTGCCAATAGTGTCCAGGGGTATGCAGATTAGGTGGGTGGGGAATGGGTCTGGGTGGAATGCTCTGAGGGTCAGTGTGAACTTGTTGGGCTGAAGGGCCTGTTTCCACACTGTAAGGATTCTATGATCCATATACACACCACTCTCTGCGTGAAGAAGTTACCTGTCAGGTCCTTCTGAAATCTTTCCCCCCTCACCTTAAACCTAAGCCCTCTAGTTTTCTATTCCTCATCCCTGAGAAAAAGACAATATGCATTCATCCTATCTATGCCCCTTATGATTTTATACACCTCAATAAGGTCACCCCTCACTTTGGGATGCAGATTTTCAAGTAGAGACAAATGGATGTGCGTCAATTCTGTAGTTTTTTTGAGAGATCAGAAAGCCAATTTGCAAAGTGACCAAGATAGCATATGACTACAGTAGAGTAGCTGGGAGAAACATCACTACCACTACTTGTGGTATTAAATGGATGAAATATTTATACTGGTCAGTTTATGAAATGCAGGGTAAACAATTATGCAGAAAATGCGAGGCTATGCACTTTGGCAGAAAGAAGAGGAGTCAAACATTATTTAAATGAAGAAAGACTTCAGAAAGCTGTCACGCAGAGGAAATTGGGAGGCCTTGCACATGAATCACAATAAGCTAACATATAAGTTCAGCAAATAATAGGAAGGTAAATGGACTGTTGACCTTTCTTTCAAAGGGAATAGAGTTAAAAACAGGGAAGTCTTGCTAAAACTATTCAAGATGTTATTCCAACAATACCTGGAATACGGTGAACAGTTCTGAACACCTTAATTGAAGGAGAAATACATTGGAATTGGAGGCTAGTTCAGAGGAGGTTCATTAGGGTGATCCTGGGCATGGAGGAATTATTATATGAGGATTGATTGTATAGTTTGGGCCTGTACTCAATTAAGTTTAGAAGAACATGCAGCAACCTGGTTAATGCAAATAAGATCCTTGGGGATAGAAGCGGAGAGGTTGTTACTCCTTGTGAGACAGTTTAGGACTGGGGGAATAATCTCAGAGTAAGGGATCACCCAGTTAAGACAAACAGGAGGAGGAATTTTTTCACTCAGAGGATAATGAAATTCTTTACCACCCAGAGCTGTAAAGGCTGGACCATTAAATTTATTCAAGGCTAAAACAGACATGTTTTAATCAGCAAGGGAATCAGGGTTATGGGGAAAAGGGAGGAAACTGGAGTTGAGGATCATCAAATAAGCCATGATTCCATTAATGGCGTAACAGATTCGATGGGTCAAATATCCTAGTTCTACTCTTACACCCTATGGTTTTATAGTCTAATCAGTTGAGTTTTGACTGCAGAACAGAAAGTTCAAAGTTTTAGCTCAGAAAACTTGGGATTCAATTCAGAAGAGAACAGTTTTCCTCCCTACAGGAGAATCATGTCAATTCAGGGGAACTAATCACCTGAGCAGAACTGGTTTCTAGTCTGAGAAGCTTCCAAGCCAGGAGAGTTTGGTTAGAAACATTCATGTCAGAACTAAGAATATTTAGGCCAATATAATTATGAAAGGCTCGTGCTAGGGAATTGGAATGGAATTGTAAAGCTGTCCTGTTCTCGGGAAAGAAATTGGAAAGTATCAGTTAAGTAATGGTTAGATTGATATTTTTCAGGCATTGAGTCTCTCTAACAGATGGTGTTAGGAAACAGTTTGAAACTTGTTTTGATGTTTGTGAAAAAAGTTTTCTAAATGCTTTCTATACACAGCTTGGATTGTTTATTTCTCCTTTTGTATAATAAACTTTTGTTCACTCACTAAAGAACATCTCAGCAGCTTCATGTGGATACTTTTTAAGAACTAACCCATCATGTTAACCAACTGTAAAGTTTAAATGTACAATTGATCAAGGCAGGTTTCATTCTGGGATGTGACTTGTTCAGTCTTAGCAACAGTTGGGATGATAATGTCATAAAACTCAGACTAATTCTCTGCTGGCTTCGTTAATGATGCAGAAAGCTTCTGATCATGGCAAAGAATTGAGACCTAGACTTGTTCAGAGACAAATAATGTGACAGATTTTTACATCAATATTCAAGCTCTGGGAAAATGCAAAAAATGAAGTCACCCTTCCATTCCTCTCTTCTCTTTTACACAATGGCTAATTTCTGAAGTTTCTCTTTGACACTGAACAGAGATTTGTAGTAAAAGGCAGTGGCTTTCAATGGGTTAACTGATGATAGTACAAGAAGTGATGTCAAGTCATATGACATTAGCGAGGGGAAAGTCTTGCTCTGGGACAGTCAGACAAGGATCTCTCTGTGCTCTGTATTTCACACATATCAATTAAAAAGCATTTGATCATGTTTAGCACCAAACGTTAATAGATGTGTTGCTGGAATGTGACATTACCTAGGGCCTACATTTGGACCAAATATAAAGCAAGTGGCTAGAAGAGGGACCGTCTCATATGTTTCAAGTGAAAATATGAGTATGACAAGGCTGTATCCTGTTGCTAAAATTATTTAACCTGCACACAGAACAATTATTCAGAGAATTAAATATACTTCCAGGGTAAACATTCAAGGCAAGAACATAGCAAACATGTCAGTGATATACTGACCAGAGTCAGAAAAGGCTCTTCAAAATATCATAAGTCAAGTAAAATCTATAAATTTAGAATATGGATTGAGTATGAATACCAAAAAGACAAAATTAATGGCAGTTAGAAGGAAAACATTAGAGCAATCTAGAGTGAAGATTGAAGTGGATGGTGTCACGTTGGAACAAAGTTGCTAAGGTTGTCTGTTTGGGACAGATGAGAACAGAAGATTGCAGATGAGATGAAGAACTTAGAAAAACAATAGAGATAGCCAAAGTAATTTTGTGAAGATGAAGAATGTGATAACAAGAAAACTCAAGCTTGTAATAAGGCATACTGTATGCCCCAAAAACCTGAGGAATAAGCAAATAAAATAGATGCCTTTGAAATATGCATGTTACTAAAAATGCTGAAAATTGCATAAGATGAAGAAGTGCTTGAAATTGAAAGAGTAAAAATAAAAAGTGATGTCCAGAAAAAAAAGTCAGTATTTCAGCCATTAGGTCAGAGCTGAAAAGCTAGTGAGATCTTGATATGAGCAGTTAGTGGAGGCTAGCAGAAAGAGGGGTTGGCTTAGGTGCAATTGTATGACTTTGAGTGGTTGTGGATGAGCTTCAGTGGTGAAATAGGAAATTAAGTAGATGCTGCACAAGGAAGTCATAATGTAACCCACCAATAGTCATTCAGGGATGATTCCAAATCGAAAATGAACAGCTCGCTAAGCAGGACCTTATACAGTTGAATGAAGCTGTGGGAAGTGATGTCTAGCCCATTACGTCTGTGGATGAAAGGCTGGCAAGGAAGTCAAGGAATGCAATCTTTACCAAGCTGGATGCCAACAGCGGGCTCTGACAGCTACATTTAGGTGATGGGCTCAAGCTTTCGATGGCATTCAGTACACTGTTTATGACTAAATGCTTCAGTCAGCTACTATTTAGGATCACGTATATGCTAGAGATCTTCCAATGGGCTGTTACTATCATATTGGAAGGGAGAGTCATCTGCCACAGGATGACATGTTTACCCACAGTAGGGAAATAACGCCTGGGTGCAAGCAGTAGTACAGAACCCACAAAGATGCCAGAGATCACACCTAACCATAAATATGACTTCTCTAAACTTACAATCACCTTTTTGGGACACAATGTCCATGCCACAGATGACAAAAAAACCATCTGGGGCTTCCTCTGCCTCACAATATTATGCAGCTTCATCAATTTAAGGGATAGTCAATCAATTCAGGAAGCTCATCCCTAACTTGACACAGGTAAACCAGCAGTTACAGCAATAACACAATATGCTGCCTGGTCTTGGGATGAGTACCACCAGAGGGTATTCGAACAAATCCAGCAGATGCTTACCTCAACATAAAGACCAGCTCATTACAACCCAGACTTTCCCACCACCATCACTGCAGAAAGGGGCTGTACTGTTCCAGACCCCTCAGACACATTTATGATACATTCAACGCACTGACTGAGACATGGTAACAGAGCACTGTCAGCAAGGAGATCCCAGTGCTTAAGTGGGTCTGTGGGAAATTTTCAGAGTACATTTTGGGACTCAAATTCACCATCCAGGCAGACGATAACCTCTTTATCACCTTGTCAACTCCAAGTAATTAGCAAAAATGGTCGCAAAGGGGCAACTTTTTCACTAAAGGAACAACTTTTTCATGGAGAGGGTGATGCATGAATGGAACAAGCTGCCACAGGAAGTGGTGGAGGCTGGTACAAATACAACATCACAAGGCATCAGGATGGGTACATGAATAGGAAGGGTTTAGAGGGATATGGGCCAAAGGGTGGCAAATGGGACCAGATTAATTTAGGATATCTGATTAGCATGGATGAGTTGGACTGAAGGATGTGTTTCCATGCTGTACATCTCTATGACTC